GTGATGTCACACGCCTTTAATCACAGCACTCCAGAGTCAGAAGCAGGCATACAACTGTGAATTTAAGACAAGCCTGGTCTACAAAGTAAGTGCCAGGCCAGTCAAGGCTGCATAGTGAGACCCTGTTTAAATAACAACAACAACAACAACAACACACACACACACACACACACACACACACACAAAAACCACCTGAGACCAGTGACTTAGAAATGGACCGAACTGCCAGGCGTTGGTGGCACATGCCTTTAATCCCAGCACTCGGGAGGCAGAGGCAGGCGGATCTCTGGGAGTTGGAGGCCAGCCTGGTCTCCAGAGCGAGTGCCAGGATAGGCTCCAAAGCTACACAGAGAAACCCTGTCTCGAAAAACCAAACAGAAGAAGAAGAGGGGGAGGAGGAGGAGGAGGAGGAGGAGGAGGAGGAGGAAACGGACCGAACTCTGACTTCCAGGTATGTACCCAAAGCACACTAAAGAAAAACCACAGAGATACATACCCACACATCCTTGTTTTCTATAGTGCTATCCACAACAGCAAAGTATTGGAATCAGCCGAGCCGTCCATGGATGGATGAGTGGACAGAGGAAACATAGCACATGCACACAGAGGTGTTTGATGCACCTGTGAAGGAGGAGGAGGGCTGGAGGTGTGCTCGGCTGGTAGAGAGCTTGCCGAACGTGCATGAAGCTTGGGCTTTCTGCAGTCTTAGGAGCAGGGGCAGCTTGGGGAAGCCCAGAGGAGTCCCACTAAAGCAAGGTCTTCACCATGACACAGCACTGGGGCTCAAAGTAAAATACATCAATCAGATGCCAAATGAGAGGCCATTTCTACCTTGTGTTGTTTTGGATTTCTTTTGGTTTTGATCTTTTTAATTTGTTTTTATGTGTATAGGTATTTTGCCTGCCTGTACATCTGCGTACTACACGCATGCCTAGGTCCACACTGGATCCCCTGAAACCTGTACAGAGAGTTGTGAATCATCAAGTGTGTGCTGGAAGTTGAGCCTAAGTCCTCTAGAAGAGCAGCCAGTGTTTTTAACTACGGAGCAATCTCTCCAGCCCTGCTGAAATTTTAAAACAGTAGATGAGTGGACTTGGGTTTCTTCTTATGCTTAACATAATTTGTCAGTCAAATTAGCTACGGGACTAGACCACATCTCAGTGACCCTTTAGGCCTTCAGGACGAGGCTGCTCCTCCTGCCCCAGGGTGCTCCAAAACCACCATGTCCTGGACATGCTTACAGGGCTACAAGGGGTTCCTGGCTGGTCCTGCTGTGTCTCTGCCAGTGAGTTTTGCACAGTACAGATGCAGCTAGAACCCTAAAATGACAGACATCTTATTTAAGAGAGAGCCTTTGAGAAATAGTTCCTATGGAACAGCCATGGGGCTGGCTTTCCTAGTTATGACCACTCTGGGGTCTGCTCAACAGTGTTCTTCTTCTTTCCAGCCTTTGCTTACTCTTCTGGTACTACTGTAATCTCCCAGATCACAGGCCATTAGGCTCCAGATGGTGTGGTCTCGGGGATATCAACAGCCACCAACAGCATCAAGCCTGCTTCCTAGCACCAAGGACCTCTTAGCCTTCATCATATTCCAGCCTTAAACCTCTTGTGATAACAACTTTCTCTACTAACAAAATGCCTGTGGAGCATTTGTTACACCTAGTCCATTATGTGGCACGAGAAAGGAGAGACAACACTTATGGTTCTAAAGATTTTATTAATTAAGTGGTCACTGATCCATCAGGGCTGCAGGACAAGGACTCGGGAGCCTTGTTTCTCCTGACAGCACCAGGCAGGAGCAGAAGCAGGGTTTTTATGCACACAAATCACAAACATTTGTTGCCAAGTTACAGTTACAATTTTCACCAATCAAGATTATAGATTAGGGGTTCCCTTGAATTGTCAGTCAATATACAATGCAAGCCTTTCAGTCCAACCAATCAGATTATTTGTTCTTTCTTGTATTAAGAAGTTGTAATGTTTCTAAAGAACTAAAGATGTATAATGACTATTTCTATGGTTTACGGAGGAGGTTGGTGAGTCATTGGGAAGTTCTCAGCTCCCCTAGGGCTTGGGAACCTGAACTTTATTTCATCCTGCAGGTAAAATGGAGTCTGAAATCAAAATGGCAGTACTCAGGCCAAGGCGCTTTTGCCTGCTCCCTTCACCTTCAATGCCTTATAGTCTCACAGCCATGACAGATCACTAAGGCTGACTAGGCATCTGTCCAGAAACTCCAGATTAGCTTCATCCCTTGGCAATGATTTGACTTTACTAATGTCAGGGACTAGCATAGGAAGGAGCAGGATGACAGCAGAGCAAAAATCCCCACACTATAACAATCAGACCACTACTTGGAGCCTGACCCAAGTGATTTGGTATTTTTTTAAAAAGATTTTATTTATTTATTATGTATACAACATTCTGCCTTCATGTATATCTGCACACCAGAAGAGGGCACCAGATCTCATAACGGATGGTTGTGAGCCAACACCACCTGGTTGCTGGGAATTGAACTCAAGACCCCTGGAAGAGCAGTCAGTGCTCTTAACTTCTGAGCCATCTCTCCAACCCCGACTTGTGATATCTTAAACACTCAGACCCTAACTCCTAATGACCCATGGCCAGATCCCATTCATGGACCATCTCAAAAAAGATCTGTAAGGTGTACTACTGAAAAAAAAAAAAACAAAAAGCAACAACAAAAAAAAAAAAAAAAAAAAAAGAAGTATCAAGCTGGCCACTGGTGGCTTAGTGATAAGGAGCACTGGCTGCTCTTTCAGGCCACTCAGTTTGACTCCCAGCACCCACATGACATCTCACAACCATCTGTACCTCCAGTTCCAGGGGATCTGATGCCCTTTTCTGGCCTTTGCAGACATTAGGCACATATGCAGTGCTCATACATACATGCACACAAACACATATACACATCAAATAATAAATGTCTAAAAAAGAAGACAATGTAAAGTCCATCAAACTGTTAGGAAAGAACTCCCCTTCCTTCAGAGGATGTAACAGTAATCTACCCTCTGTATCTCTGCCTCTTCTGGAAGCATACCTTAATAATGCCTCCCTGCATCTGGTCTAGTCAGTGCTTTTACTGCTATACTTGACTTGTCCTTTAGCTCCAAGTAGAATATTGTAAGTGAACAAGCTGGACCCAACACACAAGCTCACCAGCTCTGGTGCCTTCCGCAGCTCCAATTGCCAAGTTGCTGTAACTCTGGGTGGTGGGGAGGAAGGGGGAGCCTGAGGGCAAGAAGCTGGCTTGTAACAGCCCAGATCTGTTGAGGCCTCCTGGGGAATTTTCTGGCTCATATTTACAATACAAGCTGTACTTATTGGAAGGGAGCAGGTTGTCAATCTTCACCATCTTTCCTTGTTGAACTATCATCCTTAGTGAACATACTCAGTAGGTACATCTTTTCTCTCTCTCTCTCTCTCTCTCTCTCTCTCTCTCTCTCTCTCTCTCTCCAGGATCTCTCTATATTGCTCTGACTATCCTGGAATGGAACTCACTACATAGACCAGGCTGACCTCAAACTCACAGAGATCCACCTGCCTCTGCCTCCCTGTACTGGGATTAAAGGTGTGTGCCTCCACACCCAGCTCAGTAGGTTACATCTTAAATTGAGTATGCTCGGAAATGTATCCTCCGTTCCCCCCAAAGCATCCACTGTGTGAAAATGTAAGATAGTTATCATCTCTAGGGATAGCACAGTTTGTGTGCTGATTGTGCCTTGGCTTTGAACTCCCTTGGGGCACTGTATACTCATCTCAGAAGCCTTAAGCTAAGTTTATATAATGGCTGCTCTGCAGAGAAATGTATTATCCCTTCTCCAAATGACCTATCTTTCTAGTACCTAAAGATGGGACCATATACATTTTCACATTAAACTTGATTTAATAAACTTTTTCTTTTCAACAGGGGCTCATTTAAACAGTTTGATTTGCCAGGCGTCAGTGGCGCACACCTTTAATCCCAGCATTTGGGAGGCAGAGGCAGGTGGATCTCTGTGAGTTGGAGGCCAGCCTGGTCTCCAGAGGGAATTCCAGGATAGGCTCCAAAGCTACACAGAGAAACCGTCTCAAAAGAAAAAAAAAAAAACAAAAACCAAAAAACAGTTTTATTTATTATTATTACTACTATTATTATTTTAGACAAGTTCTCAGTGTGTTGCCCTGGCTGGCCCGGAACTCACTCTGTAGACCAAACTAGCACAGAGCTCACAGATCCACTTGCTTCTGCCTCCCAAGTGCTGGGATTAAAGGCATGTGCCACCACACCAGGCTAAAGATTTTTAAAATTTTCTTATGTGCATATGCATTTTGTCTGCATGTATGTCTGTGCACCAAGAAAGAGTGTGCCTAGAACCCTGAAACCACATTTATAGACACTTGTGAGCTGCCATGTAGGTGCTAGGAAATGAACTGAGGTCCTCTGGAAGAATAGCCAATGCTCTAAACCACAGAGCCAACTCTCCAACCCACTAGAAATAATTTAAATTACAAGCCCAAATATATCCCATTACACATCAAAGTCCACAAACTTAATTATCTCATATTTCCTTGTGTTTGCAGCAGCCCTCCCATAGGTGGTGCAGCTTTTGCTGATTTGTCTGCAGTTAATGGTCTAAAAATACTCAATGGAAAATACCAGAAATAAGCTGGGCAATGGTGGCAGATGCAGGGTAGGGGCAGGAGGATATCTGTGTGTTCAAGGCCAGCCTGGTCTACAGAACTAGTTCCAGGACAACCAGAGCAACACAAAGAAACCCTGTCTGGAAAAACCAAAAAAAAAAAAAAAAAAAAAAAAGGAAGAAGAAAGAAAGAAGGAAAGAAAATACCAGATAGTGGTGTGGTGGCATACACCTTTAAACCCAGCACATGGTGGAGGGGAAGAGGGAGAGAAGAAAGCTGTCTCTATGACTCTGAAGTCAGTCAAGGCTACACTATCTAGACCCTCTCTAGAAAAAAGAAAGAAAATACCAGAAATAAGTTGTAAGTTTTAATTGATTTCCATTATGGCAAATTGTTAAAATTTTTCTATTTTACAATTAATGTTGTTAATCTCTTACTATGCCAAATTTATAAATTAAAACTTTATCACAGGTATATTGTACATGTGGAAAATAGAACATATGGGGCTCACTGCTTCCCAGCTCTGACTGCCCACTGGGGGTCATGAAACATCCCTCAGATGAGGAGGCACTGTCCCAAATTCACAACAGTGATCTCATATTCTTGACAAACCATGTTTGTTAAAACCACAACAGGAAAAAATATAAATGTTCTGAACACATCAGAAAAAAATACCAACCTTTTGATAAACTATGAGTTTAATTCCTGTCACTACACCAAATATATCATGGCTGCTTTCTCCAGACAGTATTAATACCCACAGCTGTACAAGAGAAAAATAATTTTTAAAAATCAGTATTTTCTTAGAACACTTTGCTGATGCAGCGCTATAATCTGGTGAAGAGTTGGTTTTTGTTCCTTGAAACAGGGTGTTGTTACAGCCCAGGCTGGCTTTGAACTTTTGATCCTCGTACTTTTGCCATAAAAGTACTGAGATTATAGGCATGTACCACCAAGGCAGGCAAAATTACTTTTATCGCTTAATACTAGTCACTGGTGACTTTGAGCAGTGGACAAAAAGCTAGATTTCTTGAGCTTGACTACACAGGAAGCCTGGACTCCACAGGCAACCACAGCTGAGAGCCCGTCACTGTCTTTAAGATTTCAGGCCTCTCACCCCAAATGCCCAGCATCTGAGAGATTCCCTCTGAACTCAAGTCACCATGAAGACCCCTTTCTAAGGCTAGCCGCTCTGGGCTTACCCAAGCTGCCTCTGCAGCAGTGCTAGTTTCCATGGAGACTGCTGAGGGTCTACTGAGCAGTCACCTCTGGTACAGGTCTGCTGAGGTCATGGTTTGTGTTCCTTAGCACTTTTAAGGCACTCAAAGCTCTCTATCTAAGGTTTAGCCCCCACATCCAGGACTTGCTCACCTTTGGCTATAGGCTAGGAACTTGAACTTGACAAAGCTACAGGGCCAAGACCCCATCCTCAGCGCAGGAAATCCCATTCTCTGGATGTGGGGCCCTGAAGCTCTTGGGGCTGGGAATGTAGCTCAGTAGAAGAGCACTTGTCCTTGCCTGGGATCCTCATGGTCTTGGGTTCAATTCCTAGCATAAGTAAAAAAAACACAAACCTCCTTACATGAGACCTTGTATTATAGTGTCCATTTCTTGATTTAATAGCCTATATCCTGTTTCCACTTCACAGGATATCTCTCTTCCTATCTCTGAATCTATCCATGATAAAAACCAAGACAAGGGCAATCAAAAAATCACATTCTTAAAGTCATGACTTCAAGCTTGAGCACATTTATATAAAAAAGTATAAACTGCCAGGACTTGGACCTCATGCTTGTATCCCAGCACATGGGAGGCTGAGACAGGAGGATTGCTGTGATTTAAAGACCAGCCTAGACTACATAATGACTTCCAGCCTGAGGTGCAGAGTAAGACAGTTTAAACACCCTCCCCCAAAGGAGAAAAAATAGAGAGAGAAGAAAAAAAAAAAGATTGCTCTACGATTTAAAGCAAATTCAGGTCACCCACATATGGCCCACTGAATTCAGATCCAGGGGTTTATCAAATTCCAGGTGACTCTTTAAACTCTGGCCGATGGTGGCACACTCCTTTAATCCTTGCACTTGGGAGGCAGAGGCAGGCAGATCTATGAGTTCGAGACCAGCTGGGTCTACACAGCTAGTTCCAGGACAGCCACAGCCAGGGCTGTTACACAGAGAAACCCTGTCTCAAAAAAACAAAACAAACAAACAGAAAAAAAGATTAAAAACAAACAAACAAACAGACAAAAAAAGACAACCAAAGCCCTGGGAAACTCTGTCAGTGTCCCACACACAGTTAAAAACCAGGCGTAATGGTAAGAGCCTGGGGGTACTCGAGAGGCTGAGGCAGGAGGACTCCTCTTGGACAACTTACTGAGACCCAGTCTCAAAAGAAAATCCACAAAGAAGGTTGGATGTATCTCAGCTCAGTAGTAGAGTGTTTGCCTAGCATGCACAGGGCCTTAGGTTCAATCCTCCTATCCCTCCCTGCAAAATGGAAGAGTGAAGACATTCTCGCCGAAGATCAAGTTCTCCAGTGAACAGGAACACTGTGTTTTCTCATGACCCACATGAAGGGTGCTGGTAAAGATTCAAAATCATCTCTGCTGATTTAGTCCTTCAAGAGAAGGGTGCTCTGGGGAGGGGCAGTGCTCAGTTACAGCTCCGTTTTAAGTTTTTCATACAAGTCGTCCTGGTCAATCATGTCCTCATTGCCATTCCAGCGATGGTAGGCAAGGAGAGCTGCATTGTAGCCAGCAATGGCACTCATCTCCATGCAGCTGGCAGCAAACTCAATGCCGTTGAGGTAATAGAGTCGGTCATGGAGGATGATGGAGGGACACTTCTGAGGGGGCTCATAGTAAGGATAGGACAGCCATGGCTTCCGAGCAGCATAGTCATAGGACAGGAAGAGTTTTGAAATCTGCTCTTTGGTGAGAATGTCCCTAGAGAAGGTCTTCCACACTTGCATGCCATCCACCGCCCGTGCAGGACCCTCCTTCTCTTTTACAGAGGCCACAATGGACAGGCTGTTAATAAACATATCTGAGTCATCAGTGATAAGAATTGTGGAGAGGCCAAACTGGTCCTTGGGTCTGGAGCTGAAGAGAGTGGAATTGAGTTCTCCTTTAATGAAAGTTGTCACCAGGTGTTGATATGGGTCATTGAATTCCTCAATGGGAGGGTCAAAATTGAGGAAAGTTATGCCAGACATCTTGCGGTTCAATGGAGCAGCCACAAGGACAATGTCATAGAACTCAGAATGGGTCTCAGATCCTGTTTTATATACCACTTCATACATCTTCGTGGGATTTCCTAGAGAGCACAGGGAAGCATGGATTTCTTAGTGCTTCTAACACACTCAATTTCAGGCCTTCTCAAAGTTATTCTGTAACATTTTTTTTTTTGCCTTGTTTGTGTTCATGTATGTGTGTGGAGGCCAGTGGTGAATCTCAAGTGTCACCCCACCCCATCCCCAGGAGCTTCCATGTTGGTTTTTTGTCTTTTTTTTTTTTTTAGGATTTATTTTTTATTATTTTATGTATTGAAATGTTTGCCCACATGTATGTTTGTGTACTAAGTGCATGCCTGGTGCCTGTGGAGGCCAGAAGAGGGCGTTAGATCCCCTGGAACTGGAGTCACAGGCAACTATGAGCTGCCAAGCGTGTGTTGGGAATTGAACTTAGGTTCTTTGCAAAAGCAGCAAATGCTCCTAACCACTGAGTCATCTCTCTAGCCTCCCACCTTACTTTTCTCTCACTGTAGCTCACCAACTACCATATGTTGGCTACCAGTGAGCCCCAAGGATTTCCCCATCTCTACTGTCTCCAGCACAATTGCAAGCACTTGCCAAAAAGCTCAGCTCTATATGTGGGTCCTGGGATCAAACTGGAGTTCCCAAGCTTATGTGGCAAGCACTGTACTGAAAAGGCTCTCATCTTCCCAGCCCTGCTTTTATTTTTGAGACAGTGTCTCGTGAAGCTTAGGCTACTTTCAAACTCACTATGCTGCCAAAGATAACCTTGAACTTCTGATCCTCCTGCTTCCACTTCTTTCTGGAAGATTGGAATTATAAGCTTATGTGCCAGAGGCTGGAGAGATGGCTCAGCAGTTAAGAGCACAGGCTGCTATTCCAGAGGACCGGGGTTCCTTTCCCAGCACGCACATGGTGGCTCACGCCTGTCTGTAACTCCAGTTCCAGGGGATCTGGCAACCTTACACAGACATGCATGTAGGTAAAACACCAATAAACATAAAATAAAAATAAGGTATGTGCCATCACCTAGTTTTTGTAGTGCTGGAGATCAAACCCATGGCTTCATGCATACGAGGCAAGGACTCTACCAACCAAGATGCACACCCAGCCTAGAAAGTGTGTATGTGTGCTATGAATACAGGTTATGTACACACACCTATGCATAGATGTGTCTGCATCTGGACATGCACACAAAGGCTAGAAGGACATGGGGTATCATGTTATACAGCTCTTTGCCTTATTTTCTTGAAACAGGGTCTCTCACTGAACTAGAACTAGCAGCAAACGGTAACATTATTTCTGCCTATATCCTCCAATTTAGTGAAGAATTCTGTCTTGGTTGGTAAGTGGCCCTCTCCCATCCACTTAGATGTTCTGCTCCAATGCCTTCAGACACCGCCAGGTGACCTTCAGGCTTAGTGGCATACAGCTTTAATCCCAGAATTTAGAAGGCAGAGGCAGGTGGGTCTCTGTGAGTCTGAGGCCAACATAGTACACATAGTGAGTTCCAGGAGAGCTAGAGTTTTAGATACAAAAACTCTATTTATATTTATTTATTTATTTATTTATTTAGGTTTTTCAAGACAGGGTTTCTCTGTTTTGCTTTGGAGGCTATCCTGGAACTCGATCTGTAGACCAGGCTGGCCTGGAACTCACAGAGATCCACCTGCCTCTGCCTCCCAAGTGCTGTGATTAAAGGCGTATGCCACCAACACCTGGCTATCCTTAAAAAAGTGTGTGAGTGTGTGTGTGTATGTGTGTGTGTGTGTGTGACATTTTCTTCCTGAGCTGTCATTTTTGCAAGAATAACCAGGAACAAACAATCAAAGTTCAGCCTCACCTGTCTGCTTGGTCCTTGTCTTCTCCTCTATGGACACTACGGAGCCAGTTATAAGGTTGCTGCTGGAGGCCTGAAGGAGCCCTGAGCAAACAACTTTATTACCACCTTCCACTGCCCAAAGGTTGGAATCAGCAGCTGTCATTGACACTGCCCCTGTCAGGAGGGAGCAAAAACACGTTTTAGTTCTGTCTTGGTTGGTATGTTGCCCTCTCCCATCCACTTAGATGTTCTGCTCCAATGCCTCCAGACACTGCCAGGTGACCTTCAGGCAACAGACACTGGAACTAACAGAAGCACAGGACCCTCTACCCCTAACAACTCACAGATAAAAATAAACTATGTTGGTAAAAATGCTTGAGACACACTTGGGAGGCAGAGGCAGGCGGATCTCTGTGAGTTCGAGGCCAGCCTGATCTCTAGAGCGAGTGCCAGGATAGGCTCCAAAGCTACACAGAGAAGAAACCCTGTCTCAAAAAACCAAAAAAAAAAAAAAAAAAAAAAAGCTTGAGACACTAAGAAAGGCAGCTTCCTCCATCCCCCATCCCCAGCCTGATGCCAGAGCTCCCTCCGTCAGTGGCTAACTTCCTTAGCTAAGGCCATCCTGATTTCCTCCAATAGTCTCTTACCCACAAAGGCGTTGAGGTCAGTGCTTTGACCAAAATTGACCCTCATGATAGGAGCGATCATCTCGTTGAGGAATGTCTCAGAGAAACCTGCTTTCTGCAGGTTTTCACGGAGAGTTTGGTTAAGCAGTCGGACGTAGTCATCCCCTCCAATAGCGAACATTAACTTTTCTACACTGCTGAAGGCATAGTCATGGGACTGATAACGATAAATCCTTGAAAGAAAGAGAAATGACCACTAAATCCCATGCAGAACAGGGGACTATAAACAGCCTCAGAAGGATGAAAGAGATACTAGACTTGGGAGGCAATCGCAGACCAGCCCTGGATACACAGTAAAATTCTATCCTTTTTGTTTGTTTTTCAAGACAGGGTTTCTTTGTAGGCCTGGCTGTTTTGAAACTAGCTCTGTAGACCATGCTGACTTCAAACTCAGAGATCAGCCTGCCTCTGCCTCCCAAGTGGTGGGATTAAAGGCATGAACCAACACCAGTTTGTGAAATTCTATCTTAAAAAAAAAAAAAAATTCACCTTGTGCTGGTGGTATACACTTTTAATCACAGCACCCAGGAGGCAGAGGCAGGTAGATCTCTGTGAGTTCAAGGCCAACCTGATCTACAAAGTAAGTTCCAGGACAGCCAGAGCTGTTGCACAGAGAAACCCTATCTTGAAAAACCAAACCAAACCAAACAAACAAACAAAAAATAAAACCAAAACACGATGGATACTGCTGCTCTTGCAGAGGACCAGAGTTCTGTTCCCAGCACCCACAAGGCAGCTCATAATCACCGCAACTCTTTTTCTAAGAGTTCTGATGCACAGGATCACAGACATGCACAGGATCACAGACATACATGCAGACTAAACACACATACAGTTTTGTTTTTGTTTTTTGTTTAATAATGAATTGACTTCCATGTCTCTGCTTGGTGAGTTAGTTCCTCCTACCAGTCAGGTAAGGTACTGCTCAATCTCATCTTTCACAGACCTCTGTTCCTCCCCTCTGCCTTTCATCCCAAGACATCTTTAGATCTCACTTAAAGTCTAGAATACATAATCTGACAGTAAAAAAGAAAAGAAAGAAAGAAAGAAAGAAAGAAAGAAAGAAAGAAAGAAAGAGGGATGACAAGATGGCCCAACAGATAAAAGCATTTTGCCTCACAAGCCGGATGACCTGAGTTTAATGCCCAAAGCCCATATTGGAAAGAGACCTGACTCACAAAAGCTGTCCTCTGTGCATCCACATTCCCATCACATACAACACACAATGATAATAAAATTTTAAAAAAACAAAACCAGCTGGGAGCCAGGAGGTGGTAGTTCACGCCTTTAATCCCCAAACTCGGGAGGCAGAGGCAGGTGTATTTCTATGAGTTTGAGACCAGCCTGGTCTACAAGAGTTAGTTCCAGGACAGCCTCCAAAGCCACAGAGAAACCCTGTCTCAAAAAACAAACAAACAAAAAAACCAACAAAAATAAACCCCACCAAAGCCAGCTGGGCGGTGGTGGCACATACCTTTGATCTCAGCACTTGGGCAGAGACAGGTAGATCTCTGTGAGTTCGAGGCAAGTATGGTCTACAGAGTGAATTCCAGGACAGGCTCCAAAGCTACAGAGAAAGCCTATCTCAAAAGACCAAAAAACAAACAACCAACCAACCCATCAAAAACCAAATCTCATTTCAGTTTTACATTTACTGTTAAGTTCCTATGCTCAGAATCTCATTCACCTATGCTCCAGCACAATGCAGCATTAAGAGGAACTCTCCAGACTGAGTTGGCCTGAGTGGGAACCCCAGCTTTACCACTTGCTAGGTGAGTGGGTGAGTGGCCTTCCACACTTAAAACCTGGACATCCTCCATCCTCCACATCTGCAAAAAAACAGCCAATAGCAGTGGCTCCCGGGCCAGCTGCCATGAGAATCGATGTTTTTTTGTTTTGTTTTGTTTTTTTCTCAACCCCAGCTTCTGAATTGTGCTTTGCAAACGTTTCTTTAGTGTTGCCAGACACACTTAGATGCTGTACAAAAGTCATCTCCTTAAATGGGATGGTCAGGCATACCAGGCAAGCGTTCAACCATTGAGCCATATCTCAGCCCTTGCAAAGCACAATTTAGAAACAAAACGGCCAACGTGATCAGCTCCCAAAAGGAGTGATGATCTGCATGTTTTCTGTGAACCATTTTGCCTAACAAGGCGGTAACTAGGTGGTGAACTAGTTCAGGGAACTGACGTTTTAGCGCTCATCAGAACGGAAGGTCTTAAATTCAGCAGAAGCAGGATAGTCACCTCATGAACTTGTCCAGCAAGTCTTCTACCCACATGTGCATTCTCAGAGATTGAAATCCATAGCGCCACACCAGCTTGATCATGTTGATTATAAACCAGCTGCTCTCCTCAAACACCAGAGACTTCCCATCGTACACCCCCATCAGGCCACCTGAAGCTGGAACACTGGAAAGACCTGCCAAAACAGAGGAAGGGACTTGGGAGATGACTCAGTAGTTAAGAGCCCTTACTGCTCTTACAGAGGACCTGGGTTCAGTTCCTGGCACAGGCAGTACCTGTAACTCTAGTTCCAGGGGATCTGATGCCTTCTTCTGGCCTGTGTGGGCACCTACATTTATACACACACATACCCCACAGAGATACACATAGACACACACACAAACAGACACATAATCTTTAAAAGTCTTAAAACAAAGCACAAAAACCCAGAGGAAAGGTACACCAATGGCTTCTACATCATCCCAATGAAAAGGGAATTTGGGGGACCTGCCAGGGACATTCTGAGTGAGTGACTTAGGGGCTGTCTCCAGGTCTCAGGAGACACATTAGAGTTCTATGTTTAAAACAGGGTGGACACTGATTGCTCAATCCACAAACTGTCACACTAGGAGACAGGTCAGAAGATCATGTACACGTACCAAATTAACCCCACTATTTTTAGTAACGGAGAACGAAGCATCGGCCAGGGGTGAAAAAGACACCTGGGGAGTAAGATGTATGTACTCCATTCCTACGATGATCTTACTTTGCAATCCTAGGAATTCCAGGTAAATGGAAAAAGGCCAAAGTTACACAATATTCCCTAAAAGGGCTTGCAGAGGCCTGCCAGACTTCCTCACAACATGCCCTGCTCCTCTGCTGGCAGTGTATGTCATGCGTCCCTGTGAGCACATGTCTCTGTACCCTATTTGAATGACTTCATGCCAGGTGTTTGAAGCCTGTGGGTCTCATTTTTCCCATCAGAAAAATGAGCTGAAGTTTCTGCTAGCTCAAAACACCCTGATTCTTCAACCCAAACCTAGGGGTTTAAGAACTCACCGGGGTGGAGAGGGGTGTGGAGCTGTCTCAAGTCCCTCAAGGCTCAGTCCCTAAACGCATCTGCTGCCAAGCCTAATGACCTGAGATCAATTCCTGGGACCCACATGGTAGAGTGAAAGAACTGACTTGATCAGTTGCCCTCCATACACACACACTCTAGCTAGCTCAGACCTAAACCCCACCACCACTGTCACAAAAAATAAATAGCTAAAATATAATTTTTAAATAATTTTTTAAAGAATCAATAACAACAGCCATCCTCACTCCACCCTGTGGTTGTAATTTCAGAGAACTGATGACACACAGATAACTAGAGTCTCATTACAGGAGAGTGGCTCAAAACTAAACTGGTACCAACTGCTAAACCCCACAAGAGAAACAGTTTCACCAACTTCTCTGTAGAAGACAAACAAAGCAGAAACAACTCAGTTCTCTGTGTGATGAAAACACCTAGAGCCAGTCACACAAATCTGCTTAGCCCTAAGACCAAAATCACATACCCAGCTCTTTGACAAAACGCTTCATGTGCAAATTTAGAGGGTGGATGACAGAACCCCCTGACTCGTAGTCATGACCTTGCACCTTCAAAGTGGCCAGACGGCCCCCGACCTCTTCTCTTTCAAATACGTCAATCTTCACATCCTTCCCAAATTTCTTCCGAAGGTAATAGGCTGAGGAAGTACCACCAATTCCAGCGCCAACGATTGCTGTAAGGAGGGAAAAAGAGGAACCGTTTGTTTCCCCTCTTAGCAGTGTGGCTTCTGATTTTTAAAGGCTATTAAGCAATAATACACATTACTCAAGATTATAACCAACAACTTGGGGGAGCCTGGGGGCAGGGTTCTCTCTGAATTTGGACACGCGCTGCAAATGAAATAAACTAACACTAAGTCAAAAGATGCCCAGACATCTTCACAGATCTTTGTGGAAAGACCACCGGATCCACGGACCGTCCTGTACCCACTTCCCGGGGAGTCAGGAATGGGCCACTCCTGCACGCATTTTAAATAAAGTGGCCGCCATCTTCGCCCAGCTTTGTTCTTTGTCTTTCTGAGGCCCCAACACCATGAACGATCCCGAAAGACACAGCTTCAGAAGGGGACAGAGCGCCCGGAAGTGAAAACCCGAGGCAAACAAAGCCAAGAAGATAACCGGCCCTCTGGTTAGCTGCAGCGGCGGCGGCCTCGCAGGCAGAGCGCAGGTGCGGAGAGGCGGTCCAGCTTTTTTCAGGGGAGGGCTGGGGCGGGGGACAGACTGGTCCCTGTGCGCTGTCTGCGCGCCTCCGTCTGCCAGATAGATATCGACTCGGCTCCAGCGACAGAGGCGGGCTCCCGAGGGCGTCTAGCTCCTAGAGCTGTGGGCCTCCCAAGCTGAGGCTGCAGGGATACCAGGTCCCGAACCTGCCCACGCCTCCAGTGGCACCGTTCCACGCTCCGGAGCGCACGGCCGGCTCCTCCGGACCCCGATCTCCACCCTGCCGCGCGCGGGAAGACGGACCTCAGCATTGCCTCGCCTCCGCATCCCCCGCCACCTACCGATCCTGTCCGGCGGGGCCCGGGGCTCGGCGCTCGCCAGGCTGCCCAGTTCACACAGCAGCAGCCCCAGCCCGACCAGCAAGCCCACCATCCCCACGAAGTCGCGCCCCATGGCCTCCAGCAGCTGCAGACTGACAGTGGGTCGGCCAGCAGACCCGGAGCTCTATGAGTCTGCGCGCGCTCGCCCCGCCCATGCCCCGCCCCAGTGCGCATTACCCCGCCTACCCGTCCCACCGGAGTCCTTTGCTCCGGAGTCTCACCCTGCCTTGTGTTTCTGACCCAAGGCCACCGTGTCCCCAAAGTCTACTCTGTCCCTGGAAGCACACATCCAAGGCGCAGTTTGAAGCCCACCTCAGCTTTACTCCTTCCTTCTCGCCTCTCCTGTAGAGAGAGTCCCCACTTCTTCGCTAATGCCCTCTGCGGTCCCCCAAATCGCGTGCTTGCACAGAGCCAATCTCAGTCAAAAAACAGGCAAACCTGCGCTCACTTTTCCGAAGCGAGCGCTTTGTTCCAGGGACTCCTTAGCTGCCTGATGAGAAGAAGGGAGATGGAGTACTGTGAAGTTGCATGCTACCAACGCGAAATTAGTTTTTTGGTTGACCTTCATAGAAAAAATGAGATAGTGGTACAACAGCCAACGGCTCAGCTAGCACCCTCTGCTTCAGCCTTCCCAAGGAAAGTTAACTTGAAACCCATCTATCTGCTCCTCGTTCTCTGCTTCTACTTTCCTCTGCCCTTGTCAGCCTAGAGACCTAGGCTTCTCCCCGAGACATGGGGAAGAAGAGTGCTACTTTCTAAAATAAGGTGCTTCCCAATTCTAACAACACACATTCTTGTAGTGTTTCCCACACACACACACTTTGTTTTGTTTTTCTTGACAGAATCTCAAATAGCCCTAGTGATCTCAAACTACTATGCAGACAAGGCTTGCCTTGAACTCCTCACCCTCCTGCCTCTCCTCCTCTTTTGTGCTGGGATTTGGCAGGCTTTCATGGGCCAGAAAGAAGCTCACATAACAAACTTGACCCCACGGTCTTTCTCTTGCTATTTATTTGCCTTCTCTTAGTTGTCCAGCCATAGAAACTTGAACTCTTCTTCCTTGTCTTTTGCTTTGTCATTTCTCTAAAAAAAATGACTATTCTTTGAAGACACTTTCTATTCCAAGCTGGCTTCTGGAAAGTCACTCGTTTCCCTTGGGCATCTTCCAAACTTCTGTTTGGTTTTCTCTTATTTATTAAGACATAGTCTCACCATGTGTAGCTTTGGCTGGGCTTGAACTCAAAAAGATCTGCCTACCTCTGCCTCCTGAGTGCTGAGATGAAAGGGATATTTTTCTCTTGCTAATGTGGTTTTGTTTTGGGGTCTGTCTTAAACAAGAACTCATAAAAGCAAAGGAAAAATATTCTTTTTTTTTCCTTTCGCCTAAACTGATATAAAACTATAAACACACCCATACAGTGAAAAGAACCTTTGGGTGCTAAGAGGATGGACGGTTCAGTCTGTAAAGTGCTGGGCTTGCACACATGAGAACCTGAGTTCAGACCCCAGAGCCCATGTGAAAATCTGGATTTGGAAGCATGTGCCTGTAATCAGAATGCTGGAAGACAGGATGGTCCCTAGGGCTTGCTGGCCAGGCGACCTAACCTAATTGGCAAGCTCCAAATTCAGTGAGATGGCCTCTTTCAAAAAATAAGGAGAAATCTGGTCAGTTGTATCAGTGGTGACACACACTCTTAGTCCCTATACTCAAGAGGCACAGGCAGATCTCTGAGTTTGAAGCTGACCTGGTCTGTGGGAATCAGGACTGGAGTCTTGTGAGGAGAATTCTGAGCACTTGTGAGAATACTCAAAAAAAAAAAAAATCTTCATCCTCTTCAAAACTAAGAATCATTCTTGGAATGTGGTTTCCTCCTCTTCCTAGATGTATCAGATAGGAGTGGGTTTACTTCAAATTATTCATTGCTTAGCAGTTGTTATTCAATTACATATTTAAACTATGCTTTAGATGTTATGGAGAAACATGTTTTTGCCACATGTGACCTCTCCTTGTGACCGTATACAACTTGAACTCATGAGAACTTTACTCATGTGATTTTTCATAGCCCTCGGTATAAATTGTCTGATGCTCTGAAGAAAATCAACGATTGCAAGACCGGGCAGTGGTGGTGCACCCCTTTAATCCCAGTAATTGGGAGGCAGAGGCAGGTGGGTCTCTGTGAGTTCAAGGTCAGCCTGGTCTACAGAGTGATTTCCAGGACAGCCAAGTCTACACAGAGAAACCCTGTCTCAGAAAAAAAAAAAAAAAGTGACTATTGAATGAGACTTTAGTCCATCTCACATATCAGCTCCATTGGTCTACAGAGTGAGTTACAGAACAGCTAGGGCTACATAGAGAAACCCTGTCTCAAAAACCCAAGAATAAATAAATAAGTCAAGGATGCATTAGAGGAAGATGCTCAGCGTTAACTTCTGGGAGAAAAGCTATTGGCTCTGACTTGACCCCTTTTCTCTTGTCCCCCAAAAACAAACACAAAAGAAGCAGTATAAGAGCATAAAGAACAGTACTAATGAAAGGAAACTGAATCGGATACGAAGAAAGGTAAAACATGGGGCTAGCAAGATGACTCAGCCAGTAAAGGTGTTCATGGTCCAAGCCTGGTGACCAAAGTTCTATCCCTTGAACCCACATGAAGGTTAGAGAGAACCACCTTAAAGTTGTCCCCTGACTGCCGCGTACACACTGTGGCCTGCATCAGGACAGGTCTCACTGAGCCTGTGGTATTTGGGCAGAAGCAGATAAGAAATGAGGGTGTAGGGCCATGTAAGTAGCAGTGGAGAGAGCAAAGAGAGCGCTTGACATGTTTGAGAGGTCGACGGGTCAGTTCCAGAATGCAAGGGTGGAGGTTGGGGACCAAAATGAAAGAACTGCCCTTGGGAGCCCAGAATGCAGATCCAGTACATCCACACACAGCAAAGGAAACAGAGCTAAGCTGTAGCTTTTACTTTTGTTTCTCAAAATATGTTGTACCACACACAGGAGTTTGGTGCATTAGAAGCAACAGACCAGTGGTAAATATTTGTTGTTTGATTAGAATTGGTTCTGTTAGTGACCTTGAGCCTAGTGTCGTATTTGGAAACTGACTTCTAATACTGAAGCCGTGTGAAGGAATATGCAGGAAGATCAGTGGGAGGCGAGCCACAGCATTTTCATTCTGGAGAGAGAGAGAGAGAGAGAGAGAGAGAGAGAGAGAGAGAGAGAGAGAGAGAGAGAGAGAGGAGAGAGAGAGGCGATGCAGCACACATCTGTAATCATTCATACTTGGGGATGGGAGCAGGAAGACCAATAGTTCAGGCCAGCCTGTTTCAAAAATAACAGCAGAACAAAACACAGTAACAATCAAAATAACAGACAAAATGTTACCATATAAAGTGTAATTTTTTTTCTTTTTTGTTTTTCGAGACAGAGTTTCTCTGTGTAACAGTTCTGGATGTCCTGGAACTAGCTCTGTAGAGCAGGCTGGCCTTGAAATCAGAGATCTGACTGCCTCTGCCTCCTAAGTTCTGGAATTAGAAAGTGTCTGCTAAAGTATAATTTTTGTTTGTTTGGGGGACAGGGTCTCCAACTTTTGTTTTTTAGTTTCATGTACATTAGTGCTTTCCCTGCATGTATGTCAGTTTGAGGGTGTCAGATCCTCTAGGATCCTTTGGGACTGAAGTCACAAATAGTTCAAATAGTTGTTAGCTGCCATGTGGATGCTGGAAATTGAAACTAGGTCCTCTGTAAGAGCAACTAGGACTGAGACCAGGCTGGCCTCGAACTCACAGAGATCTGCCTGCCTCTGCCTCCCGAGTGCTGGGATTAAAGGCGTGCACCACCAATGCCCTGGGCAACTAGGACTCTTAATCACTGAGCCATTGCTCCATTACTCAAACTTTTAATCCTCTTGTCTCAGCTCAGAGAGTGCTGGGGTTACTTGCACACCAGCACTCCCAGCCTATGTTATCTGAAAAACCAGTCTCTTTCAGAAATTTAGGACCACCAAGAATTCTCTGGAGAGATGGCTCAGTGGCTACTACATTTTGCTTTTCCAGAGGACTGGGTTTGATTCCCAGTACCCACATAGCAATTCTATGTTCCAGAGGATCTAATATGGTCTTCTGGCCTCCTCAGAGACTAGACACACAGAAAATAAAATAATAAAAAAGTAATTTCTTTAAGAAGAACTTACTGTTGATTTGAGCTCAGGCTCCCCTGTAGGAGGTTAAGAGGGTCACTTCAGGGCAGTTAACCAACCCCACAAAGGGTCATTAACAAAAGATAGGTTGCACAGGGACTGACTTCCTGTTTTCTATAGTTTTGAATACCCTTGCTCTACTGATCCCCTGTTTCAGCTCCTTCCCTGTTACCTCATTCTTGCCCTAAAATATTCAGTCACCTCTATACAAATTGAATTTCAGTTGTAGGAATTTCCCTATTGCAATATCTTACTGATTAAAATCTGTCTCTATTAGTTTGTGCACTTTCATGCTTGTCTTTGAGAACACAGAGACCCAAAATTCTGCCACTGCTCACAAAATTCTGCCTCTGCCTCTGGAATGCTGTGATTAAAAATATGTGCTGC